AGACGAAAGTCTGAAAGCCTAATAATAATAATTTTAGTAAAAACAATAGTGTTTCAGACGAAAGTCTGAAAGCCTAATAATAAGTTTAACAAAAACAATAGTGTTTCACGCAAGCTAAGCAGTGTGAAACCCTAATAATTTTAGTAATCCCAATAGGCTTTCAGACAAAGTTCGGTCACTTCCGGTATGCGCAGAAGTTTCAAAATTGTTTTAAGGAGTAGCCACCGCCTGGTTTCCCTATAGAATATTTGGTTCCAGATCGATATCTGTTTTCGATCATGGAGAAATAGGCTCCCGGGATAAATAATAATAATAATAATAATTTTAGTAAAAACAATAGTCTTTCAGACGAAAGTCTGAAAGCCTTATAATAATTTTAACAAAAACAATAGTGTTTCACACAAGCTACGCAGTGTGAAACCCTAATAATTTTAGTACTTTCGTCTGAAAGCCTAATAATAATTTTAGTAATCTCAATAATCTTGGCAAAAACAATAAGCTTTCATATGTAATACATATGAAAGCTTAATAAGAATAATAATTTTAACAAAAACAATAGTGTTTCACACAAGCTACGCAGTGTGAAACCCTAATTATCTTCGTCTGTGGAATTACAGTTAGGGCACACCTTTGGTGAAATAAGTGATTATTTAAGTTACTAGCTTTATTTCTTAATTGACAATGGATAATACTCTCTTTTCTATTTCCAGTATTATAATATAAAGATGGTCTAATTAAAGGATATACATGTGAAAATCCTGATTTAAATGTATTTAACGTTTTTAATATGTTCTGGTAGAGTGTTCCAAATTTTAATTGTACAGGGAAAGAAGCTATTAGAATACGAATCGGTTTTACAAAATGGTGGATTGAGGTTCTGATTTTCATTACGAAGGTTATAATTGGATACTAATGGTTTAAATTTGTTAAGGACTTCAGACAGATAGCCGGGGCATGGGTTATTTTTTATTTTATATAGATATATTAATTTGTGTTTTATTCTGCAATTGGACAGTGATTCCCATCCCAGTTCTTTGTATAAATTGTTTTTAGATGAATTTCTTCTATGGCCATTTATTATTCTACCCGCTTCAATTTGAACACTTTCTAGTAGGTCAGAATCTTTTATTGAGCAGTTATCGCATACAATATCAGCATATTATAAAATAGGGTGAATAAAAGCAATATGTATTTTATTAAGTGATATTCTATTAATTTTATATTTTAGTATACGCAAAATATTTAGACGACCGCAAGCTTTCTGGTATATATTTGATATATGATTTGACCATAATGCATTAGACTGAAATGTTAATCCCAAATGACAATGAGTATTTACGTTTTCAACTTTTGTATTTTCGAAGACAACGTCTGAATGAATTGTATTTTTCCTAGTAAAAATAATATTTTTGGTTTTATTGGGGTCAAAAGTTACACACCACTGTTTAGCTCACGATGAGATAATAGTAAGATCTTTAGAGGATCATTATGAATAATGGTAAAAAGTGAAGTATCGTCGGCGAATAGCCTTATGTTGTTAGTAATATTATCAGAGATATCATTTAAATAAATTAAAAATTAAAACGGACCAAGTACACTTCCGGAAACTCCAGAAATCGGTATGCAAATAATTTGATTTGAAACCTTCTAAAACTACACATTGTTGTCTATTACTTAAATAGTGTTCAATCCATTTACATAGTATTTGATTAATTCCATATTGTTTTAATTTAGACAATAAACCCATATGCCAAACTTTATCAAACGCTATACATCACAAAATATAAATCGAATTTGCTTTCCTATATCAAGATTACTTATTATAACATCATAAATTTCTAAAAGTTGATTTATTGTGGAATCGTTTGGTTGAAAGCCAGACTGATACCTGGTTATTTTCTTTTATAAAATTATAAAGATTTTTGAATAAGATTTTCTCTAGTATTTACATAATGAGCATGTTCTATAGTTGTCAGGGAAATGCGGATCACCCTTTCCTTTATATGCTGCTATGATATGAGAAGTCTTCTAAATATTAGGTAATAATTGGCGTTCTAATGAAAGATTAAAAAGTTTAGTGGGGGTCTTGTGATTGACAGAGTTATCTTTTTCAGCACAGCTGGGCTAATGTTATCGGGACCAGAAGGTTTTGAACAGTTAAGAATTAGTAGCTGGTCTCTTACTTCTTGTTCACTTACAATAAATTGATGTAATTCGTTGTTACTGCGAGAAGCAAAATTTGGGAGGTCAGGTACACCATTTAATTCTGAAATCGAGGCAAAATTGGAGTTGAGGATATTTGCCTTATCAAGTGGGTGGGTGTAAACGCGTTTTTCAAATATTAATGGGGAGGTGGCTATCTTTTCATTTTCAAAATTTGTAATAGATTTAGCTATTTTCCATCATTTATTTGAAGACAGGTTGTTATTATTTATTTGTTGTTCTAATTTGTTTTTAAAATTACTTTTAGCTTCCCTAATTAATGTTATTACTTCATTTCGTATTTTTCTAAATAATAGCCAACGATTAGGATTATTAGTTTTTTTGGCGCATTTGTGTTTTCTATTTCTTTTTCGTATTTTTATACGTATAGTGTTATTCATAAATGGCTTATCATTTTGTCTTATAGTTACTACTTTTGGTGGGATATACTGTATTATTGCTTTATTTAAGACATCTAAAAAACTTTGATAAATTTTATTACTATCATTATTTTTAAAAACATTTTTTGACCAATCGATAGTTAATAATTCATTATTTGAACCTTCATAATCAGCAAGTTTATAATTTCTAATAGTTCTTTTGTATGTTTTTATATTTGAAGATAAGATTATTGGTGAATGTGTACTGAATATAGGAGCATTAACATTAGTATCTGATATAAGTGATTTTTTATTAGTAATAAAAAGATCAATACATGAGCCGGGAAGCGTTGTGAAATTTGTCCGAACTTCTATCAAGTTTCAAAGATTTAATCTTTGTAATAGTTTTTTAAAATTTAATACAATTACTTGAAGTACTTGAAGTACTTAGAATGTTAATATTAAAATCCCCTGTTACAATTAGAAAGGGGCCACTATCTAGTGCATTAGACAACGTGTCGTAAAATATATCCCAAAAGGCAACCCTTGTATTTGGAGGTCTATAAATTACCCTGAGTAAGAATTTGGTATTATCGGTAAAGATCTCTATAAAAATTAATTCAATATCAGGGTTTATGAGATCATGCCTTATCTGAAAATGTAGGTTATTTTTAATATAAACAACTACCCCACCCCCATGCCTGTTTCTATCTAATCTAACAGGACTTGTATAACCAGGCAGTAAAATCAATGAATCTTTAACAGAGTTGTCTAGATGGGATTCAGTAATACATATTATATCATAGTTGGAGAATTCAGCTTCAATTATATCTAATTTTGGCAATAAACTACATACATTATTGTGGACAATGGAACTTAATGTAATTTGTTCTATACAACCGATAATTAGCAATGTTTTAATTACAAGCAATAGATGAATATTTATACCATAACAAAAGATAGGATGTACGATCACATATAAGGCATGTTGATCGTTCAGTTTAAGAGGCCAGATATTATTAGTTTTAATCGTGACTGTCGTTAAGTAGTATTTTCCGTTCACATGTAAAAACGGAACAATCAAACATATATTTATATCTATTTGGGTATGCATCTATAATGAGATATGACTTTAAATCAAAATTTACATTAAATATGAAATTAATACATTTTACACTCCTGGAAGTTAGATGAATGGAACAGTGTAAAGGTGAGAAGCAAATATACAATATATTACATAACAATAAACAAAACATAGTATTTACAATCACTATTACGAAACATGTTGAGACTGAAACAAGCTTTTGCGAAGTATCGCTATGTACAGAACCAATCAAAATTAGAAAAGAAACATATATACAAACACATGATGAACAACAATTAGTTAAATAACTTGTAAACAGAGTAATGCGTTTTAATGTCTCCTTCGGCAGTATAAAATTCAGTCGACAGCTAGAGATGTGTATACTGTTCTGGTTGTATATATAATTAATTTAAATATACATGTATTATCATTACTACGTAAAAGTATGATTACGTCGGAAGTAGTCCTAGAGATATTATATAACTTTACATGTAGCAATTTTCCGTACAATCAGGGGCCATAATTCAGGAAGTTACGGTCCGATATGCGCAAATATCGAAAAGAACCCAGATCTTTGGGTTATAAACTTACATTTCAAGTTTCAACAAAATCGGATAAAAATTGTGACCTCTAGAGGGACCATAAGCTAAAAACGTGATTTTTCGTACAATCAGGGGCCATAATCCAAGAAGTTACGGTCCGATACATGCCAATATCGAAAGGAACCAAGATCTTTGGGAGATAAACCTATATTTCAAGTTTCGTTGAAATTAGATAAAAATTGTGACCTGTAGAGTGTCCACAAACAATTGTGGACGGACGGACGTTCAGACGTCCAGACGGACAGGGGCGACGACAATATACGTCCACATGAAAATGTGGGCGTATAAAAAAACAACCTGACTTTCTCCTAAAATTCCAAAACAAAACAATAATTTTTAATCATGCCCACAAGCAGGACAACACAATTCAATACTTTATCATGACCTAAATAAGAGGCCTTATTTAAAAGTGTAGAATATACTTGTTCCATTACATGACAATTCAACAAATAAGTAATATGTGAAAAGAAGTCTCCATATTACTATGCATGGTAGTATCTGCTTTCTTATTGTTATAACGGGCACTTAAGTCATACTAAACTATTTCACTTTCAGTGATGTTTCCTTTGATTAAGATAATTATTTGAAACTTCGCTAAACAGTAATTGTAGTCCACAGAATTGTGTTTTGTGTATAACGCTGTACTGAATTCCATTATTATATGTTTAGTGCCAATACTCCACTTTTGACTAAATAGCCAGACTTTATCAATAAGCTAATGATTCTACTGACCTGTTCCAGTAGCTCCAGAACTGATCTTTGAGGTAAGTTTTATGAGTAAAATCATCTCCAAATGATGCTTTGCTCTCTATCCAATTAACAATATAACCATCTACAGCTGTTTAAATATACAAACAAACCAACAGTGAGGCTGATGTACCCACGCCTCAATCCCAAAAATCAATAGATGACAATTATTAATCAATTGCTCATGAATCTTTTTCTAATGATCAAGCAATTGAACTTAGCTTAAGAAAATGCTCATGATTGAACTTAGTGAAGGTTTTGATCTAGTGAAACTATACACCAAGTTTCATCACTCAGAATCAAAGTTATTGTGTCTCAAAGCATTGACCAACCTTAGCAGAAAATGCTCATGATGAAACTGTTTAACCCTATCATACTCAAGAGTTAATAATTCATGAAAATTTTCCATATTTCCACGTTCGATTTCCTATGTAGACATTTATACAATCTTTACCTATAGGTATTTCTAATTTGACATCTGGTGTTTTATCATAACCTTTTAATCTCATCTGATCTTCACCTATAATATATAAACAAACAATATAAGTTTAAAACTAGGATATATTTTCAGGTAACAGTACCTTGATATACCATATTTTTACGCTATTTGAGAACGAGGGGCGGCCATTTTGTCTGTCAGTTTTCGGCCAATTTTCACGAAATACGAACTTAACCGTCCTTAGGGTGTAACGGTGATATAATAATACGTTTTTTAAAATCGGATAAACATTATGACCTCTATAGGATCCACAAGCTAAAAACGTGATTTTTCGTACAATCAAGGGCCATAATTCAGGAAATTACAATTCGATATGTGCAAATATAGAAAGGAACCGAGATCTTTGGGTTATAAACTTACATTTCAAGTTTCAACAAAATCAGATAAAAATTGTGACCTCTATAGGGTCCACAACCTTGATATACCATATGTTTTACGCTACTTGAATACGAGGGGCGGCCATTTTGTCTGTCAGTTTTGGGCCGATTTTCACGAAATTCGAACTCAGTCGTACTTGTGGTGTAACGGTGATATAATAATACGGTTTTTTAAATCGGATAAAAATTATGACCTCTATAGGGTCCACAAGCTAAAAACGCGATTTTTCGTACAATCAGGGGCCATAATTCAGGAAGTTACGTTCCGATATGTGCGAATATCGAAAGTAACCGAGGTCGTTGGGTTATAAGCATACATTTCAAGTTTAAACCAAATCGGATAAAAATTGTGACCTCTACAGTGTTCACAAGCTAAAAACGTGATTTTTCGTACAATCAGGGGCCATAATCCATGAAGTTACAGCCCGATACATGCCAATATCGAAAGGAACCGAGATCTTAGGGTGATAAACCTATATTTAAAGTTTCGTTGAAATCGGATAAAAATTGTGACCTGTAGACTGTTCACAAACAATTGCGGACGGACGGACGGGGGCGACGACAACATACGTCCACATGAAAATGTGGGCGTATAAAAAAATCGTGAGACTTGATCTAGCCCCATGATTATGAATGCACAGTTTCTCCGTTCACAACCATAGATATAATTTTTCGAAGCACAGACGTCTGTAAGCAAGTTAAAATAGGCCCTGAACCACATACAACTATAACACATGTTTTGATTTAGAGGTCTTTAGCAGTGGGAGGAAACCCCAAGAAACCTTTCAAATATGGTTCACAATCAAATCATAGCATAGTAAATAAATACAATGGTTCATTTTCAACAATATTCAATAATTCAAGTTGTAACTTAAAGATACATTATGGGACATTAGATAAAGAGATGGAAGTTCTTGATGTAAAAGTTTAAAAAAATAGACAATATAAAGAGGATATGCTGAAAATTTCAGTCAAATTACTTCACTCCGGGCCCAGAAAATTGCATTTTAAAAACACTGTAGACTCGATTGTCATCGTTACCATTGTAACGATAATGAAGAAAGTCTTGATTATCCATTTTCGCAGTTAATCATCATTAATAGTTTATGTAATATTTCTGGCCCAAAGAAAGACCTGCAATAGGCAGATTTAGCTCTTGCAAAATGTATGTTTAAAAAACGTGTGATAACAACAACTTTTTAGCATAACTTAACAGACTTTTAGTTACACATAGTATGTAATAGCAACAGGCTTTTAGTAACATATGGGTGTAATAACAACAGACTTTAACGTACACATGGATGTAATAACAACAGACTTGGGTTACACATAGGTGTAATAACAACAGGTTATAGTTACACATAGGTGTAATAGCAACAGACTTTTAGTTACACATAGTTCGTAATAACAGACTTTCAGTTACACATAGTATGTAATACCAACAGATTATAGTTACACATAGGTGTAATAGCAACAGATTTTTAGTTACACATAGGTGTAATAACAACAGACTTTTAGTTACACGTGGGTGTAATAACAACAAACTTTTAGTTACACATGGGTGTAATAACAACAAACTTTTAGTTACACATAGTATGTAATAACAACAAACTTTTAGTTACACATGTATGTAATAACACAAACTTTTAGTTATAATGAGTGTAATAACAACAAACTTTTAGTTACACATGGGTGTAATAACAACATACTTCAGTTACACATAGTATGTAATAACAACAAACTTTTAGTAACACATGGGTGTAATAACAACAAACTTTTAGTTACGACGACGTTCTTTGGTCAGTTCACATTCCCACATGACTTTGATCTCAGATAGGCCATACACGTGGCGTAATTTGTAAAGGCGACCTTGAGTGTGTTGATACAAATCACGCATGGTTCTAGACGGATCATAAGGGTGATGATGTTTCACGTCTTGTATGGGTCCTGGGTAGCAGCGAGGACATCCGTGATAGGCACACCCCATGAATTCGTAGCCGGTGTTATCGTCGTAGCCATCTAAATGATACGCGCCAATTCTCACTTCACCCTGATTACGAGCATGTCGAATCTGTGGAACGCGACTTCCCTCTCGCAAAGCTTTTAGAGTCTGGCCGTGCTGTTCCCATTCCAACCATCTCAAGGCTATGTTAGATTGCTGTCGCGGTCGAAACTGTTTCCAATCTTTTCCGGCTTCGGGTTCCTGCATCAGGGCTCGGGGAATGATGGCCATCGTGTCGGGTTCCAAATAATGCGTACGAAATACTTTATTACAGGCCGAAGTCAACGTGAGACTTTCCACAAAAGGATCGAGGCCCGTGTCCATCAAAAACATGTCTCTGAAAGCAGCACAGCCACGTTTGAGTACATACACATCGCTCTTGCAATACGTCAACAGCTCGTGTTGAAAATCAAACGGTTCGTGTTTGTGTTGTTGGTACCAGGCGTAAAAGGCTTTACGTTCAGACACACCCATGCCTTTAGGACCGTATTCTCCGGCTGGTGGATAAGGACCCACGTACGCATAATGTTCTGGCTTGTTAAAAAAAGTGTGGAAAATAACCTTTCTTCAGTTCCGTGAGTCCAAACGTCTTGGGTAAATCTCGTAAAAGAGCATCGGTAAAAAGTTTAGCGAATCGACAAATCTAACATCTCCCAAGGTCACTGTCATCACTTTTCCACCACTCATAACAACTTGAGGAGCGGCTATCGCATGGTCGTGTATCGTTTGCAACATTAGTAACTCATCGTATCCCTTGAAATTATGTGCAACGGCTATGATTTGTGTAGACTTGCGAGATTTTCTTCCTCCGGGAACTGTACCGTGTGCCGATAAATAGATGAACCATTTTCCCACGTCGTCCAACGTCCGAAACACCCATTCGCGTTGACCATTCCAGGAAGGATCACAGTAATCACAGGCGTCCGATGATGCCATGCAGAAATGACAACAGCACTGCAAGCACACACAAATTTACTACATGTTCTCCCGTATCTTGGGTGCACTCAAAATCATAAAAGACAAAACGAGTCAACTCTTTTCCTCGGAGTTTTGCTAACTGCATGTGGCCGGTCGGTTGAGTCAGGTCGATAGGCGATTTGAGTTTTTGAATAGAACATCAACGGTCTCCGCGCTGATGCCATTTCTTACAGATGGAGCACTCGTATTCCCCACACACGTGTTCGGCCAATGCCCTGTGTCTTTTCAGAATATCCCACTCTTTGCCGCACTGTAAACATTTCGTCCATCGTTGAGAGTTCGTTGGTATTCTTGGTTGCCGGGGTTTTAGGTGCCGGTCATAACACAACTGATTCGGAAAACGTCGATGACATGTGTCACATTCTCGACGGGTGGCGTCTTCCAAACATGGGGTCCCGACTGTTGGCAGCTGTGACACATGGCATGGCAATCGTGTCGATCCGGATGATCGTAACCTTTTTGACAGGCCTTATAGAAATAGATTCTTTCAAAAAAAGCAGGCATGGACGTGATGACGTCATAATGATTGGCGTGATAGTATAAATGTAATACTTTAGGCTGACCACCTACGACGTATTTGGTTCCTTTAAACATCAGTTTTCCAAAGAGTTGTCGAGAATAAACATTGATCTGGTACCCCTGCCGACCCAGCACGCGTTGGTATTGTTCCCAGGTCTCGGGGCCCCGACAGGCTTCGTAGGCACCTCCTACCTCTTCAATTAATCGGTGGGTCTTTCGTGTCTGCCAGCTGCTTGGTCCACAATGCTTGACTATTCTTCTTCTTTCGCTTCCCATTCTGGAGTATCGTTCTTGTTGGCATAGTGTTTGGCCACCACCAAAGCACGCTGAAAACAGAGCTGGTCCCGATTTTTAATCACCACGATGGCTCTCTTCTGTTTCAAGTAGTCTTCAAAGGAACTCATGTTCTTCTTTTTGATAATAGGATGTCCACTTCCGGATCCATTAGGCGGGGCTACGTGACACACATGTAGTCTCAGGCGTTCATCCATCTTAAATTCTTCCTTGGATTGTAATATTCGGGCCAGCGGATCCAATATGTGATTTGGTCTGACATCTTGCCACGGTTGAAAATCGTACAAAGTCGTTGGGTTGACAGCCAACCAAATTCCCAAGGTCATTTAACGTCTGGAACGTCAGCTGGTGAAATTTGGTCCCAATTCTGATGAAAATCAATGTTGACATACAAGCTTTCCGTATGAAAACGTCTGGAACGACGCTGGTGTCCTAAACGTAGAGTGTAGCCTGGTATATTATAGCATTGTAGAATGCTATAACCAGTAAGCGCTGGCTCCTTTATATAGACAGGATTGATGACGTCACGTAACAACATGACGTCATTTTAAGTATAGGCCTACTTTTATAGCAAAAAACCGGATCGAAATTTGTGATGAGGCTTACAGTGAAGTCCGCGCGATTTCTTTTTTTTTTGCCTTGTAAAATTACAAAATATTACAAAATGTTCTCCCTGATGCCAAAAAGTCAAGGCTCTCTCACAAGTCCGCGATAAAAGGACAAATAGGCGTGTGAAAAGAAAAACACTTCATTCATGGGAAATTCTCTCAAGCGAGAGAAACGCCTTGTTAGTGTATGGCAGGGGGAGTTTCAGCAGCTCCTCTCGGAACAGTGTGCCCAGAGGTCGGCAT